AATCATGCACCTTGAAAGGTACAACTCGAATCATGCACCTTAAAAGGTACAGCTCGAATATGTTACCAGACAAGGTGGACACCTCCGCTGTTGGACTTTTGATGCGAAAGCATGCTAATTTGAGTCATAACTCAAAGAATTTCAACATGTTTTTAGACATTAGAAGATATATTCAGTTCTAATTGAGAACACACAAATTGAGCCTCGAGTTCCCTAAAACTGTCCGTTTTTTTGTCCGTTGCGGCTTAAAAAACTAACGATTTCTTAAGTAATCGCAAGGAAGATGAGAGGCAAATATTATCTTTTACTCTCCATTGTAGTTTTTTTTTTTTTTCCAACTTGTCAGTGACGGCGGATGGTAATGAAAAACACAAAGAGGAGGCCATGGGGCAAAACCTTGCCGCTGTTCAATGGGGCAGGTCGAATTAACACGGCGTTGTAACGTAGGGCATGCACGAGAGGATTCAATTTGGGCTTCCGCGCGCCAATTTCCCGCGCAAAATGTCCAAGGATAAGACAAGCGCTGTCTCACATAATAAGCGGAAGGAACTTAAGAGGCTGTCCGCGTAAGAACGGATAAGGCAAATTTCGACCCTGCACCGATTTCCCTAAGTTTTTCACTGGAAATTACAATATTATCCCATGTACAAATATCACATTTATTTTGATCAATTTCATTCTTTTTATTTTTTACGAGACAATTTTAAAGGTCACCCCAAAACTGCCCAATTTGACTTCTGTGACCCCTATAATTAAGCTATAAATATCGAGCGCTGCCAAATCCTTATTTCCCAATCTAGAAAGCTGATTATTTTACATATTTAAGAATGACTTTATTTCAATACTTCAAAGGTGAAACAAGTCTATTACAGCTTAAAAGTACTTAGATAGAGCAAGTTAAACATAGAATTTCATAAATATCCGACGTCTTGATCGAAACCAATGATAACGCAGTCCGACCAGCAGACAGGTTTGTAAAGCTTAACAGCCCTAAAAGGCTTAAAGGTGCAGGAACAATTATATGATGGAGTATCAAGATCGATGTTAA